TAATTTTTTGAGAAGATTATTATGCTTTTATTAGAATTTTTATTTATGAAAATTTTTATAAATTTCCTAAATTCCGTGCCTCCCAATCCTTCAATGAGGATGTTACCTGCGAAATCCCGATAGAGGTGTTCGATCATTTTGCATGTTCTTTCCAACGATGTGCTGCTTTTCTCTCTACGACTTATACTTTTTGCTGTACAGATAACCTACCTGTGCCGACCTACCGGTGCTCGAAATAGGTTTTGGTACATAAGTCACTCATTTCGCATACATAACAGGGAAAAATCCATAACTGGGAAGTTCATAGTAGAGAATGTATTTAACATTACAGGTATAGGCAATCCGTCAAAAAATATTTTACAGTTCATAACTCAGAGCCGTACATAACAGAGAACTTCACAACTCTGGAAAAATCCATAACTGGGAAGTTCATAGTAGAGAATGTATTTAACATTACAGGTATAGGCAATCCGTCAAAAAATATTTTACAGTTCATAACTCAGAGCCGTACATAACAGAGAACTTCACAACTCAGAGCTTATACTGTAACAAAAAATATACTAACTTAGTGTACATAAATAATATTTAATAACAAACTTATAATTGTTGCAAATTCCCTATTCAGCAATTAATTGTAATAATAGTTTATTTATGTAACAAATTTAGATTTTTCCCTAAAATTAAATTTAGAAACATTAATAATTGTGTACAGAATAATTAAAATTATTAATTAAACTCATAATAGTGAGGTAAACATAACGAACATTTATTTATGCCCACAACCTACATAAGTGTAGGTAAGAATATTCTGTATTTATAATTGTATTATCCATTGATTAATTGTGTCCACATTTATTTAACATTATGACTCATATACATATAGTTGTCCCCCATTTCCTGCGTAACCTCATCATATATACCCTGTTCCAACTCCGGTATCAGTTGGTCGTGATAGCGGACACGACTGGGTATGGGATGCTTGACATAGGTGTTGGACTTATCTATTTGCACCCGTTCCTCTTTCACACTTTTATCCAAATCGGTGGCTATTATTTGAATCTCATCGACCAGATCCCCAAAAGTAGGCCTATAATTGGGGTTCTCTGACCAACAGCTCAATACTATGGCGTACAGTATTTTCGGGCAGTAATGGGGTCGAGGCATACGGCGCCCACTTTTCAAATAGTCCAACACATCGTAGTTATTGACGTCGGGATAGGGTTTGACTCCTCGAGTCATCACTTCCCACACCAGTACCCCGAAGGACCAGACGTCCGACTTTTGGTCAAATGTGGCCAACTCTAGGGATTCCGGTGCCATCCATTTGACAGGTAATGTCGCGATGGCTTTGTCGCACTGGTAGTAGTTTTTGTCGTATACTTCTCGGGTAAGACCAAAGTCGGCCACTTTGACTGTGAGGTCGGTGTCCAGCATACAGTTCCGGGCGGCTAAGTCTCGGTGAACGAAATGCTTGCTTTGTCGCACTGGTAGTAGTTTTTGTCGTATACTTCTCGGGTAAGACCAAAGTCGGCCACTTTGACTGTGAGGTCGGTGTCCAGCATACAGTTCCGGGCGGCTAAGTCTCGGTGAACGAAATGCTTGTCTGATAGGTATTCCATACCTGTGCCCATCATATGAATTGTGAATTGAATATAGCAATAAAATATTGTTTATACATTATTTGATTAGCATGCAAATGATAAAAATTATAAGTTATAAGAAACTGTAATTATTAAATACATTAGAAATAAGCAAGCATATTAGATAAACTAATTGAAGTCATCTTGGATAGTCATATTGGTCTCAACTCGTTCTATCATTTATTTAGGAATTGAATATTAATTTTTAATTTAGATTTTAAAATATTGTAAAAATATATGAGCTACGTAACTTAAAAATTGTATTTCATCTAAACGTTATTTAGTCATAAACTCAATGAAAGCCTATTTATAATTACTTAATGACATACCTTTGGACACATCGGCCACAAACTGAATCAATTGACTCACAGTTAGTGAATTGGTATCACACCTGAGATAACCCAACAGATCCTTGTTCTTCATGTAAGGCATGAGTATCATCGGTGAGCTATCCCTGGCCTGAAAGGACACGCCAATCAATTGCAAGACATTCTTGTGCTGGAAGTCCTTCATAACTATCGCCTCTTTGATGAATGTCTCGATTTCGGCGTTTGTCTGACTTTTGGCTTAAAAATTCAAAATTCTTTAAAATAACCACAAAATAAAAGTAAACAATACTTAGTTTTTTGACGGCCACATCCCGGTGCCCGACTGTATCGAGTTGAATGAGAGCACTGGCATATACACAGCCATAGTTTCCGACGCCTACCACCTCTTTTAAGGTGATATCCTTCTCGTCAAATAGTAGTCTCTCATCCCTAAGCACTTCCAATAAGCTTTCCGACGGTTTATATCGCGTGAAACTAACTACAGATTGTAAAACAATTAAAATTAGCTAGATTAGAGTTAATTATTAAATTTATAATTACCACGATTATTATTTCTTAGTCGACGTCTCATATAAGTAATTGCAATCACAAATAATATGGCCATGATAAGTAGTACGAAACTGATAATGATAATTATATATATTACATTGCTATGAGTTGGTTCATTACTGTTGACCATGGTAAATTTCCATTTAAAATAATCCAACCCCATAGTATCAGAACGTGTGCACCCAATCCAATTACCACGAGCACCCTTAACATAAGCAACCTTCCACATATCTCCATTCCCTAATTATTTAAATTTTAATACAATAATGTTTAATTTAAATTCATGTCTCTCTCTCTCTCTCTCTCTCTACTCACAGCATGGGTGTTCATATAAATAATAATAACCAGGCTCGTCTGTTTTGGATAATTTTACCACATGATTACCAGATAAATAAGTCATTAAATACCAATTATTAGTTAATTCGTAAAATTTATGCAAAAATCTCGGATCATCCTGGACATAAGTGTCAAGCATGTTGGCTCCCGATATAGATACCAAATACGTGTCGTTTTTCCCTTTATTCTGTATCACATATGGAGTGTTGGTTAGTCTCTCTCTACTCACAGCATGGGTGTTCATATAAATAATAATAACCAGGCTCGTCTGTTTTGGATAATTTTACCACATGATTACCAGATAAATAAGTCATTAAATACCAATTATTAGTTAATTCGTANACATTTATTTAACATTATGACTCATATACATATAGTTGTCCCCCATTTCCTGCGTAACCTCATCATATATACCCTGTTCCAACTCCGGTATCAGTTGGTCGTGATAGCGGACACGACTGGGTATGGGATGCTTGACATAGGTGTTGGACTTATCTATTTGCACCCGTTCCTCTTTCACACTTTTATCCAAATCGGTGGCTATTATTTGAATCTCATCGACCAGATCCCCAAAAGTAGGCCTATAATTGGGGTTCTCTGACCAACAGCTCAATACTATGGCGTACAGTATTTTCGGGCAGTAATGGGGTCGAGGCATACGGCGCCCACTTTTCAAATAGTCCAACACATCGTAGTTATTGACGTCGGGATAGGGTTTGACTCCTCGAGTCATCACTTCCCACACCAGTACCCCGAAGGACCAGACGTCCGACTTTTGGTCAAATGTGGCCAACTCTAGGGATTCCGGTGCCATCCATTTGACAGGTAATGTCGCCATGGCTTTGTCGCACTGGTAGTAGTTTTTGTCGTATACTTCTCGGGTAAGACCAAAGTCGGCCACTTTGACTGTGAGGTCGGTGTCCAGCATACAGTTCCGGGCGGCTAAGTCTCGGTGAACGAAATGCTGGTCTGATAGGTATTCCATACCTGTGCCCATCATATGAATTGTGAATTGAATATAGCAATAAAATATTGTTTATAAATTATTTGATTAGCATACAAGTTATAAAAATTATAAGTTATAAGAAACTCTAATTATGAAATACATTAGAAATAAGCATGCATATTAGATAAACTAATTGAAATCATATTGGACTCATTATTTATTAGGGAATTAAATCTAAATTTTTAATTTAGATATTTAAAATAATGTTGAGTAAAATCATGTGAACTACGTAACTTAAAAATTGTATTTCATTTTAATGTTATTTGGTAATAAACCCAATGAAAGCCTATTTGTAATTACTTAATGAACTAATAGGTGACATACCTTTGGACACATCGGCCACAAACTGAATCAATTGACTCACAGTTAGTGAATTGGTATCACACCTGAGATAACCCAACAGATCCTTGTTCTTCATGTAAGGCATGAGTATCATCGGTGAGCCATCCCTGGCCTGAAAGGACACGCCAATCAATTGCAAGACGTTCTGGTGCTGGAAGTCCTTCATAACTATCGCCTCTTTGATGAATGTCTCGATTTCGGGGTTTGTCTGACTTTTGGCTTAAAAATTCAAAATTCTTTAAAATAACCACAAAATGAAAGTAAACAATACTTAGTTTTTTGACGGCCACATCCCGGTGCCCGACTGTATCGAGTTGAATGAGAGCACCGGCATATACACAGCCATAGTTTCCGACGCCTACCACCTCTTTTAAGGTGATATCCTTCTCGTCAAATAGTAGTCTCTCATCCCTAAGCACTTCCAATAGGCTTTCCGAGGGTTTATATCGTGTGAAACTAACTACAGATTGTAAAACAATTAAATATTAGCTAGATTAGAGTTAATTATTAAATTTATAATTACCACGCTTATTATTTCTTAGTCGACGTCTCATATAAGTAATTGCAATCACAAATAATATGGCCATGATAAGTAGTACGGAACTGATAATGATAATTATATATATTACATTGCTATGAGTTGGTTCATTACTGTTGACCATGGTAAATTT